ATAATTATCTATTTCATTCAACACTCAAGAGTAAGATTTATTTGTTTTTCTGGCCATTGTCAGCAAGACCCAGTCAAGAGAACAGGATTGACCTGACTAGAGCACCCAAAGAGCCACCTGTTGAATAAACTTGGCCTTGAGAGTTTCAGTGACTTCTAATAGCACCAGCAGGGGCCCCGCGGTCACCACCAGTAGAAATAACGTTGTTTCTTTTCTTATGCCACAAGAGGGCGCCCACACTCTCCCGTTCTCATCAAAGCCTCTTTATTGCTGCAAGAGCCTGCATTTCAGACTCAAGGACATGGGACAGCTTCCACAATTAGAACCTCAGCTCCATTTCTGGCAGACTTATCAACGTGAGACAGATGCTGTGGAGGTTTCATGTATGAGTGAGAAGATTTCTATGGTGTTAAGTGGTGAGACGGGAGCTCTGTGTGGTCTCTCAAGGACATTTGTCAGTGAGCCTCACAGAAGCCTCCATTTGGGGACTTTTCCTGATGTTTTATTTTTCATTTTCACTTCCAATATTTGCACAAAATTTACTTTATAAAATGCTCATTGACTGAGACGTTTGAAGACTAAATCAGAAACCCTGTGGTTTATTAACATTATTATTTTTAGCTTTATAGAGATTGGGGAGTTTTTTCTTAGGAAATATCTGCTACAAATTCAGAGCAATTGGGTATGTGTACACTAAATATAGTTAACTGGAATAAAAGTGATGATGATAAAGTATTTATTATATCAACTGAGGATTCCAACCTCAGAGAGGAGACTTGCAAAACAGAGTCCCAGTCACTCAACCCTCTTCCCCATATGGTTTGGTTTGACAAGATATTTAGATCGATGGTTTTTTTTTTTTTTTTTTTTTTTTAGAAAAGCAGAGCGACAAGTTTGAGACAAGTTCATGGTGGAAACAATTTTTTTAAAGGCTTTTTTTCTTAGGGACATAGTTAATTTCCAGACAGATAGCTTGCCTTAAACTCATTATCTCTGTTAGGTAATTCAGGAGATAAAAAGTCCATCAGGGCCCTACCTGGTGGTGCAACTAGTTAAGCGCAGTACTATGAAGTCACAAATGCCTCCTGGCTGGGGAGGTGACATAGTGTGGCAGACCTCTCCTGACCCACCCACTGCATCCCTCAACAGTGTAGTTTGTCAGTCTGCCTATTCTGCTTCCCACTGTCTCTGATGAACCCTCTCACTGTCCCCGTACCTCTGGCCCCGTACCCCAGTTCTGTATGCATAAATAAATCCTTAAAAAAAAAAAGTCCATCATAAGAAAATAACAGCTTGGTCAGATGACCAGATGCTGTGGAATGTTCCTGGGGTGGGGGCAGGAGGTTCCAGCTTATTGTAGGATACCACAACACATGTGTTACACGTGCTGACTGCTCTGCCCATCTTTTCTTTTTCTTTGCCCCAAATTAGATTTTCATTCATAATACTAAATACCAGAACTTTCTGGGAATGAGCTAGAACCCCCAAGCCAAGTGTCATTAGAACTCCACACCAAGGCAAAGGGGAAAATGCCCTCCAGTTTGTACATGCTTTTATTAATTTTCAGTGGTTTATTTTTGCATCAAGATTGAAGTAGTTGAAAAGTAGTGAAAACTTAAGGTGTCATAAACATTGCTTTAAATTTCAATGTTTAAAATAATAGAATTTATTATAAGTACTTTCCTATCTTTAAAAGTAACTCATGAATATTTGAAAAATATACTTAGGGAAAAAATATACTGTTAGCAAAATGACTTCTTAGACACAGAGGACCAGTTGAGAGTTACCATAATGCAAGGGGGTTGGGAGTTGGATAAGTGTATGGTGGTAGATGCAAACTAGACTTTTGGAGGGAATCATTATGCTTAACATAGCTGCTGTGCACCTGGAACATGTAATGTCATAAATCAATGTGACTTCAGTTTAAACACACACACACACACACACACACACACACACACGTTAGGTTATCTCCTTGCCACTTGAGAAGTTTGTCATGATTATTTCTCAACTTACAGAAGCCCCACTCACCCCCCACTGTGACTATTCTTGTTAAAATAAATTGTCAAGACCACGTCTAACCTTGGAAAAGATTGTACTAACAAAATTTGTGAATCAGTTTTAGAAAAAAAGCATGATGGTGTCTTTTAATTTATTTGAATGACTGCTTGCATCCCGATTTGCACATTTCCAATTTCCTTTCTCTTTGGTTTATGCATGTGGATATTATATTCATGTATCTTCCTAAGTTTTACGTTCATCACACATGCTTTCAAAACTTCTTTTGGGCCTCCCTGGTGGCACAGGGGTAAAAGACAGCCGTATCCCTAGCCACTGCAAGACGAATTTGAACCCTGGCCAAGGAGGGAGGTGACCCACATGGCATAGCAGACCTCTCCTATCTTGCCCTCTGCTCCCCTCAGCAGTGTCCTTTGTCAGTCTGCCTGCCCCTGTTCTGATCCCCACTCTGTCTCTGGTGAATCCTCTCACTGCCTCTGCTCTTCTGGCCTATACCCCAATTCTGTATGCATAAATAATCTTAAAAAAAATCTATTTGTATAATTTGATTTCATCCTAGGGTATTTCTTCACTTGCTATTTTATGTAGGTATAAATATTGACTATAGAACTATGAGATATGAGGCCATCCCATATGTTCACTGAATTTGAAGTATATAGCCTATGTATGTTTTAAAGGTTTGCATACTTGAATTCAAAGAAGAATTTGAATTAAATGAAGGATATGCACTGAGTAAGATGCTAATGGACATAAACATTTTTGGAAACAAATAATGGTGTCCATCTTTTTACACAACTGCCATAGTTACATGTTTTAGAACAGTGTTTTTTTTTTCTAATTTAATTATAATTTTATAAATCAAAACATTTTTCTGATCTGCTACTTTCATTCCAGTGTTCTCACATGTGCCAACCCTCGTAATGGAAGCATTTCCTCACAAGGGGCTGGATGTGACCTACCATCATTAACTAAGGAGAACTGCTTTTCTTTTTATATGCTCAATAATGTTTTGGGTGTAATAGCATTCACAGGTAGCCTTTCGAATTGTTTTTGAATTTATACACAAATAATCCCAGATCACACCTGTCATTATTTATGTACCTATGTGCTTAGGTGTAGCAACATTATAACCCACAATTCTGAAACATTTTAGTGTTAGGGCTTTCAAGTCAAACTGCTGAGAGACCCATACCCATGCTCCTTTTCTACGTCCCCTCCAGTTCACCTGTACTGCTGGGTAGCAGTGCTAGGTTCCTCTTTTATTTTTAAACATATTTATTGAAATATACATAAATTATATCATTGTTCATTTTGTACAGTGTTCAACTTTTCCTCTCAGATATACTCCCCATAAAATGCCTGCCACCAAATCACCCATCAACTGTCACCATAGTTTCTTGTGCTTTTCCCTCCCTGATTTGATCCTTCACCCCCACCTTCCCCTGCTGTATATCTCTACTTTATATTTTGCCTATTGGTCTTCCTTTTTTCTTTCCCTACCCCTTGTTTGGTTTCCCTATATACCCCATCAAACTAAAAAGCTTCTGTAGAGAAAAAGAGACAATAATCAAGACAAAGAGACAACATACAGATTGGGAGAAAATACTTGCACTCCACACAACTGGTAAGAGACTGGTATCAATGATCTACAAAAAGCTTACAGAACTCAACAAAAAAAAAAATAAAGAATCCAAGCACAAATTGTACAGAAGAGCTAAAATGACACTTCTCCAAAGAGGAAATGCAAATGGCTAACACATATATGAAAATATGATCTACATTCCTTATAATCAAAACCACAATGAGATACCAACTCACCCCAATAAGAATGACCCACGTCAAAAAAAACAAAAAATGAACAACAACAAAACAACTAACAACAAATGCTGGTGAAGATGTGGAGAAAAAGAAGCCCTTTATATTGCTGGTGGAGTGCAAACTGGTCCAACTACTATGGAAAACTGCATGGAATGTCCTCAAATTACTAAAATAGAGTTTCCATATGACCCAGCAATTCCACTCCTAGGGATCTAGCCAAAAGACACAAAAACATTAATTCAAATAGAAACCTGCACACATATGTTCATTACAGCACTATTTACAATAGTTGAGATATGGAAACAATCTAAATGTCCAAAAACAGGTGAATGAATCGAGAAAATGTGGTATATACATGCTGGGAGATTTCATGCTGTGAGGGACTCCTCTCATCAAACCTGTCAGACTTTCCCAAATAAAGTTTGTTTCCTCTCCCCACTACCACTTGATCACAACTTATTTCTTTAGCTAGAAACTCCTTGACTTGCCATAACCTTCCAATGTGCTTATTTATTTTTGTGAATTGGAATTGTCTGACTCTGCTGTGTTACTGCTAAAATGCATGCATGGGAAGGAAATTAAATCAACGATTCTTTGGAAAAAAAAATGAGAAAGTTGCAATGAATCATCTGACCATGTGTATTTTTGGTCATTGCTGATATTGCCTTCGTTCATGTGGCAGTAGTAGTATTTGTCCAGTTCCACCCTTACCCATAGCATTACTTCTCTCTGAAGAAATCACAATATGCACATCTCAAAGAGTGGAACTTACATATAACCTTGAGGACTGAGTATCTACATTAATAGTACAGCGTACTATTAATAAATTATAAATAATTTTCATTAAAGTATTTATTTCTGTGTGGACTTATGGAAGCTTGTATTTTCTACACTAATGCAAAACTACTGTATTTTACTGCTTAATGGCTTTGGCCATTGAGTTTGCTTTCAGTTGATTCTTTAATATGCCTACAGGACATACTGAGAAAAGCCTAGATGATCCTCTTGGAGAGACTGACCCTTTTGGTACAATGTCATTATAAATGATAATCAAAAGTTAAGTTATACTAATTTGCATACAGATGCATTTATTTCATATAAGTAAAAACACATATATAAATAAAAAATAGTGTTATCTCATAGTATGAATAAATCCAGTCAGTGATTAACATTTACACACAATACAAAGTCATAGTTATTGAGCTTGAATTGTTAAATATTCTAAAAAGAAACTACACTTGTAAAAAAGGCATGTAAGATGCTTGGTCAGGAATATCTAAAAATAAGTATATGTTCTTACATTTGCATTAGGAAATTTATACTGATAGAAAATGCAGCTCAGTATACTACTATATAATTAACATTATTAACCTAACAAACATATCAGGACAGCCTCATGCAGTCAAATAACTGCAACTTTGAGTATCAGTTAGTCTCTGTGCTTTTAAATCCAGTTGCCATGGCATTGCAAATAGCTTCAGCTCAGAAATTCTTGCGTTTTTTAAGCACAAACTAGGCAGTGGGTTTGCTTAGAAATTCCTTGTTGAAGAATCTTCTTGCTTCAATGTTACTGAGGGAAACAGAACAACGAGATGGATTTTGTCTTCTATATTCAATGCTTTCAATAATGGCATTCTGTATCACCTACAGAGAGAAGCAAAACAGATCAATTAGTTCTGCTCTGAACTCACTCAAACATTTTCTTGGTCAAAACAAAAACTGAATTGATCTTTTAATCATAGTATTCTCTTAGAAAGAGAGACACCTTGGGGTCTTACCTGTGTTTATTATTTCAACCCTAGATGAAAGAGTGAAGATGGTGAAAGAGTGAAGTTGCCAAGCTCCCCTTGGCCTCCCAAAAACATATTCACAACCAGACTACACTGAGACAGAATAACTCCTGAATGATGTAAAGATGACTTCTGTAGGCATCAAGAGGGCTTTCATGCAGGAAGTGTGTAGGAAATACTGTAATTTAACTGTCCATAGAGTGATACCAGAGGGAGAGAATGTTGCTATACAGAGTCTCTGCTATTGTTGAGGGTTCACAGCTCATTGGGGACTTTAAAACTCCAAACACTATATTACAGAAAGGATGCACAAAGCTGGTATGTGGGATGGAGGGTGTTCTATCAGAGAACAGGTGCAGAGAGTAAGCAGGCAGAGACCTCTGGCAGAACACTGCAAGAGTAGGCAGATTCCTGCAAATCCAGAGAATATACCACTGGATTAGCAACAGGGTACCCTGAGCTGGAGAATGAAATATCTTGCACCACTAAACTGGTGAGCTGAGAACAGAGATGTTCTTGGTGACTGCCAGTGTGCAGTCTCTGTAAGTTGGTGACTGTTGGTCTGAACCTACGTCTCTCAAAGGAGAATAACTGGAACCTGAATATCCAGGGAAGGCTAGCCTGGAATGCCTGTTTCCTTATAAAGACGCTATTTTCTGCAGCCTGGAGCTGTGCATGTGAAGCACCTGTCTCCCCCCTCTGGGGGCCGAAGCTGAGATAAGCAGTATTACTAAGCAAAATTCCAAACAACTGGGTCCCAGACATGAAGCAAGTGCCCAAAAGCAAGTTCCATACTTGAAAGGCAGAGAATAAATCCTGGACTGTGACCATTTAAACTCTAATCTCTTCACAGTGCTACTGTTCAACCACATCTTGGAAGTTGAGGCATATAGGAGTGTTCGTGATGGAGAGGAAACTGTACCCCCAAATTGGGTATCTGAACACTTGCAGCACATTAGAAGCTTGAACTATTGGAGGCACCTTTTGGCATCTTTTTTTCCCAGTTCCTATTGACTACCTCTTACTGGCACTAGTGTCCCTGTCATTCAAACAGGTGCAGAAGCTCTAGTTTATGAAACAATAGACACACAAAGATCCTAAGTAAAAAACAAAACAAAAAAAACAAAAAGAAAACAGGCTTATACTAAGCTACCTGTAGGCATGGTTTAGGGTCAGTTTATAAATGCCAGAAAGAAACCTCCTTATCTTAATCCATAATGAACAAATAGAATACCATATCACAAATGCTGGATTAATGAAGATTGGAGAGAAAGAAGAACAGATCAAAAATACTACAGTGAAAAAAAATTCCAAAAGATGTCTTGATATAGAAGAAATGTGGAATCTGATGTGTTTAAAGTAAATTATAAGCAGTTACAAAAAGTTATTTCTCGATGAAATTAAAACAACAGATCAACAAAAACAAGACTATAAAAGGTATGAATAGAAAGTATGAGACCGTTACAAATATAATTAAAGATTTTAAACAGTGCTGTAACTGAATTAAGAAATACAGTTCTGGGCCCCAATAGTAGACAAATGCAAATAACAGAGAGAATCAATGAATTGAATGTGTGATGGCAGGAAACACACACCCACAAACAGCGAAAAGAAAAATGAATTTAATAAAGTTAATAGTGTAGGAGCTCTGTGGGGTGATTTAATGAGAAATAATATCCATATTATGAAAGTCCCAGGAGACTAGAGAAGTGCATAAAACATCTATTTGTTGACATAAAAATAGCCAAGAATTTTCCTAAGCAGAGGGAAAAAAGCAGAGTTCCTGACCCAAGAGGTCAAAAGAGTAACAAGCAAGTCCAAACACAGACACATGAAGACACATAAAGATCAAACTGCTGAAATAAGTAACATAGGAACCAAAAAGACCATGTGAAAGAAAATTTAAAAAATCAACACATCTTTTGAGAGGCTAACAAAGAAGAGAGAAAACATGAGTAAACAAAAATGAGGAAGGGGAAATTACTCAGAGAACATAGAAGTGCAGAAGGTCCTAAGAGATTACTACACAACTACAGATCAACAAACTCAACAACCTTGAAGAAATGAATGAACCTCCAGAATGATATTGTTTATTAAAACTACACCAGGAAGAAACAGAAATGCTGGGGAAAAAAAAAATCATTGTCATGAAATTGAGTGAGTAATCAAAAATCTCCTCAAAACCAAAACCCAGGATCAGTTTTAGAAGGAATATTTTTTAAACTTATGAAGTAGAGGTTCTGCCCATCTTACTCAAACTATTCCTAAAAATCCAGTAAGGAATGAATCCTAATATTAACATTCTTGTTTTCCAAGCCAACCATTATTCTAATGCAAAAACTGAATATCCTGAAAGTTATTAATATAAAACTTTCAACAAAATACTACCAAATGAATTCAACAACCAATTACAAAGACCATGAGCAAGTGGGACTTAACCAGGGATGATACACAAGTCAATCAATGAAATATACTACCTTAACCAAACACATGATAAAAAAATCACACGATAATATAGAGATAGATAGGGAGAAATCCTATGACAAGATACAAGAACCATTTATGACAAAAACTCTGAACAAGTTGGGAATAGAAGGAAACTAACTCGATATAATAAAGATCAAATAGCACAAACTTACAGCTAATTTAATACGTAAAGGTGGAAAACTAAAAGCTTTCCCTTTAAGATCAGGAACAAGACAAAGATACACACTGTCATCACTTTTGTTTAATTTAATTAGAGGTTTTAACTTATCATATGATAATAAGAAATAGAAAAAATCCAGACTGGGAAAAAGAAGTGAAGTGATCATTATTTACAGGTGAGCTGGTATAATAGAAAATCCTAGAGACCCATCAAGAAACCATGGATTTGTAACAATATATGAACACAAGAAATGGGCGATTACAAAATTAACATGAAAATTAGTTGTGTTTTTATTTACAAATCATGAACAAGAAGAAAAAAGAAATTAGGAAATAGTAATGCTTTAGAATTGTAGTTAGATGACTGTGGGGGAAAACTGAGATATGTAATATCAACCACAGCTTTTAGCAACTCAAAATCATCATGCCTTAAGCTATGACATCACTTCCCTAGTTCTGTCTCATTAGAAATACAACTTCAAAACAGGGATTAGAGCATCTATTAGGAAGCACCAGACACAAAATTTTGCCCCAGAACTCAGGCAGGCTTCATGAATAACACAAAACTCAAACTTGCAAATGCCTCTCTAGTAGGAGAATTTCCCACTATTTTTAGAAGGTTTCAACTTACAGATAATAGAAGAGATAATATGCTACTGGAAAATATTATTATCATAGTGGCTGCTTCTATTGATTGTGCCTCACCTGCCAAACCCTGAAATTATTTTATTTAATCCTCATTCCAATCTTATAAGATACATATCATTGTTTCTCTCACAAGTGGAGAAAGTCACATTTAGAAAAGTCATCCAAATGTCCAATATCACTCAGCCCAGACAGCAAGCAAGGTTAGAACAACCAATTTGTAAGGCTCCAAAGCACCTGTGAGGACAGCTCCATGTTTATCACTACACCCCATGTGTACACCAGGCTTCTAAATCCAACAGAAAATCAGAACACAAAAGGCTACCATAGTTAAAGCACTGAGGTGGTGAGGGGGGACAGGAACTTGGCAGGGGGGCCGAGGGAAAGCAGACACCAGATGCTGATGGGGAGCCAGTCATTGTCAGTGAGTGAGCAGAAGCAGAGCCAAAGCTGTCTCAAGCTGGACCGGAACTATAGCTGTCAGATGCAGGGTGGCCTTTTCAAATGAGTATTGCAGTTAGAATGTGATTTGAAGATGAATATCTGCACTAAGTGGTTGTGGCCACATAGCTGAAAGCTGTTGTATGGGACTGGCAGCCAAGTGTCTGCATTAGAAGTGCTCATATTCCCAGTGCAAGAAAACAGATACGTGGTTGCTGAGGCTGGAGTGAGTAACCCACTCTATTCAGCTGGTGCACACATAAATGAGAGATGTAGCTGGTGGGGTCTTGTGAGCTCTTCAGCATTTGGCCTCAGCAGTTTAATTGCTCTTTATTATCTTATAAAAAAAGATTTGATGCTGACAAAATATGTTTTCTTTGTTAAAATCAGGGGTGTAGTGTGGCAGAGGTAGGATGGAAGGGGAAACACCAAAGGAGAAATAAAATATCAGTGAACACTAGAGACCTTGCCAGGGTGCAACATACTTGTGTGTACATAATCAACTCTCACTTGAACACAAGATCATATCATTTAAGAGGAAACCTATAGTCATTCATTCATAGAAATATTACTTAGAGCCTAGGCAACTATTACCTATACAGACTTGTCTATTATTTTTTAATGCTGGGAATTTATAAGTTTTGGGGGGTGCCACCATGGTGGTACAGGCTGTAGGCACTCATAGGTGAGGGTCCCATTTAATGAGAACCTTCTGCCTGCAGGGCATGGCTCACACACCAGCTGGCTAAAGACGCACTCACTACTGTCACAATGACAGGGACTGAGACCTTGTTCCAGAAATGAGGAAAACAAGGCACAATAGGCTGAAACATTACAGCAGTGATATTACATGTTTTCTTTTAAAGAGATGTCAAACATGGAGCCCCTCTGGGGTTGAAAAGTGAACCAAAATGTGACCTTGCTTCTCCATGTTGTTCTTGGAGACAAAAGTTCTTACAAGCAATTAAAAACCTGCCTGGTAAAATGGCTTGTTGAGAAGCAACATTTGAAGCATTGTAAGTGAGGGCAGTTATTTCAGAATTCAGTGTATTTTTTGTTTAGGCTTTAACTTTTTCACTTCTGTGTCAAACTATTTTGAAGAATGTATGTAAATATATAAATAGAACTATATCATGTATAGCAAAGAGCTTAGCAGGTTTTATATAAAACAGCAGAAAAACAATGAGAGAAATGTAGTTAAGTTACATGTATATCTATAAATATACTGTATAATGCATGTTATATATTATATACACTCAGATATAAATATATGTATGCATGTATACAGATAAACTTTCATATATATACAGGTCTACTTACACACACACACACACACACACACACACACACACACCCCTTTTATTTTACGAACTCCAACAGTGTGTTTATATATTCTTTCAATCTGCTTAAGGACAACTGAACAAGCCCTAATACATTTTATCCCCAGGAATAAATAGTTTTGAGTTTATTGACCTCATACTAGAAAAAACAGAATTACTGTGATATTATCTTTTAGTTTTCCTTTAAGAGCATGGAGCTCTATAACACAGAATATTAATTTGAGAATGTTTTTTCTCAATACTCTAATACTGTTTTTCCCTGAATATTCACCATCACCACAGAAATAATGTAGCACATAGATTTCAGATATCATCTGCTTGTAAGACAAAAGGAAAAAGAGGAATAAATATATTTAGAAAATTATACCATAAACGTCAATAAGTGTATTTTATACAAAGAGCCTCATGTTATCCACGAACAAAGGCTGACAAGTGTTTTAGACTTGCAGGAAATGAAGCTTATTGGGGAAAATTGCTGTAAGCATGTTGACTAAACAACAAATGATGATCTAACTGAAAACTGTACATGATTGGTCAGTACTAGTCTCTCGGCCAACCAAACACTGAGCAGACTAGATGCCCGAATTCTACTAGTTTACCAACATAGTCAAATCTGATATAATCAGAAAACCCTTCCCATACTGTGTCCACACTCCAGCAAGTCAGTCATGACAGCATCTATTTCCATGGTTATTTTTTTTTTAAAGATTTATTTATTCATACAGAACTGGGGTACAGGCCAGAGATGCGGAGGGTGGGAGAACCCACCAGAGACAGAGTGGGGAGCAGAATAGGCAGATCGAGAAGGTACACTGCTGAAGGGAGCAGCGGGCGGGTCAGGAGAGGTCTGCCACACAATGTGGATCTCCTTTGGGGTAGGCGGGGATCGAACTCATGAGGAAGTGGTTTAAGCTTCTCAGTGCTGTGCTTTAACCTGCTGCGCCATCAGGGAGGGCCCGGTTATTCTTTTTTTTAATGTGTAAAATCCCATTACATTAGTGAGGTTGGGTTTTTACAACCAATAATGCTTTGTTGGACACTGTGATTCATGAACACAGATTTCTAAGGTCATCATCCAGATATATTGAAAACCTGACCACCCAGAGAATACATTTTGTGAAAGATGACACACCCAGGGCTTATCCCTACAGCTTGAATTCCAGTTACACAACAGAGCTCCCAGATGGTGAGTTAGAGATGAAAGAATTTCTTGTTAGTATGGAATGGAATCTTTTGAGCAGATGCAGTAGTGATAGGAATGACTGATAAATGGAGAGAATGATTTGTTTCTAAAGTTTCTAAAGCAAAGTGTACTAGATATCTCAAAGGCTAAAAATGGGAAGGCTGCCACTTTTGGTGACATTCCCCAAACCCACGAAAGATATTTAAAAGCAAGAAAAATTCCTTAAAATTTGTAAACTATTTTTTCCCCCCAGATTAACCATACTATGATGAACACACTAGATCCTTTGGAGAAAAAAGCTGCACATTAAGTAATCCTTCAAACAGTAGTACAAATGTGGGCTTTGCCAATTTAGAAGCATTCATTTTCTTATGTGTGAATTTTATAGGGTTCTACTGGAAATTAAGAAAATAAGTAATGGAAAATAAAATGGGACTTTTGTTTCACTTTAAATTAATTCCAAAGGGACATTGCTATCCATGTTTCGGGAAATAATTGTCCTTGTCAGTGGCCACAGGGATACTTACATCAATGTTATTCAGGGTATTGAAGTGCATCAGATCATGCAGCCTTTTGAATGCTTGATTTGGATATTGAAAGTTGAAAGTGGAAAATGGTGAATCAGGATCATCAAAAATATCAAAATCTGCTATTTCTTTCTCTTCCTTAGTTTCTCTGGGAACACCTAAACAGCAAAAGCATCTCAAATGAAGTTATGGTAAAAGCTATAAAAGTATCTCTAAAATCTAGGGAATGAAATAAACACAACATTGGAAGCCTCCCAGGAATCACATAACCTGTGTAGACACTATTAGGCTCTATCTAAATTCACTGGACTTGATCATTTCTGTGTGTTCTGATATGGTAACTTCAAATTGCCAATATTTGCACCTCTGTGCCCACAGGCTTTCTTTATCTCCCTGCAAGTGTTCCACTTGCAAGCAACAGGCTGGAAATTCCAGTTAACAGTGCTTTGTCCCAGGAAATATTCAACCAAAGACGCTAAGAAGTTAGTACAAAAATATCCAAGATCAATATCCCCTCTTTCTATGTCAGTGGGAAGGACAATCTGGACCATGTGAGCTCTTACATTTCCTAGAGTTCTCCAGTAGGATCAAGTTCTTGTGTGGCAGACTTAATACAACTTTTGTATGTCCTTCCTTCATCACTTCTCCACATCTTCACTCAGTTCCTTCCTTCACCCAAATAAACTAAGCGCACTAGATTTCTTTTCTCAGAATCTTCTTCTGGGACAATACAAACCACACTATCTAGTTGTCTTCATGCCACACAACTCCCCTCCACAGTCTTGCTTGAAGATTAACAGTGACAGAAAATTCTCTAGATCTCCAGTTAATACACAGTTGAAAAACTATTGGATTTTGGAAAAGTCATGGTGCATTTTTGTTTGAAAAACAGAAAAAAAACTTTTAAAAAAGTCATGACTTTTCTGGCAGTCCAATAAAATGGCCAATCAATTTGTCTTTCTTTCTCTGTTGTTGAAGCAGGTCTCAGAATAACCTCCATTTCTCCTTATCCTTTCTCTGTCTTTTTTCACTGAGTAAAAAGTTACTTTCTGTTCCATAGTCTACTCTCAAAGCTTCTGTAGCTATAAGTTTTGTGTCTCTTTTCACAATATTTTCTGGTCCTAAAATAATGTGGTTTTTAGGCCTTTAGCATTTTACTTATCAATCCCTACATCTCCTTCTGGATTTAGAAAGGTCTACAGACTTCTCTGGATGTGGTGAGACAGAACAACTATACCATAGGCTGGATCCTCTTTTGCTATGAAAATCTGAAATTACTAGCTATAATATGCTGCTAGATTACACTGATCTGTGGTCAGCTGAAATGTTTTCTTTTGAAAGGGTTCCCACACAAGGATGAGATTTAAAGATGTAACAACCCTCATGGGGAGGCCACTGAGCAATTAAAACAAACATAGTCTGAGGTTTGGGAGTACAATTCTAGACATTCTTACTGAGCTAGTTGTTAATCCTTCAATTTCTGGATTATGAAGAACTCAGAGATTCTTGGGGCATAAAAGTGGGGGAGTACTTGGGGTGTCAGGATAGCAGCTATATATATGAAGGTAAGGGAAGCATTCAATATTGCAATAGCTGGGATAGTGTAAACCAGCTTAATGTTGATCTTACTCCTTTCCCAGATTTTTATATATACAACTCCCAACATACCTGGAGCCTTGAACTTCCTGAAGTTGATGTTAGCCAGAACAAAATGGATGATAGTTGGGCAATCTTTCTCCATATCCGGATTCTTAGGCTTAAAGACGTAGCATTCCTTCAGTCCTTCTCGATCAAACACGTGAGGATCAATCTTTGGGAAGGGTAGCTTGTTCATTTTAGCCCACTTTTCTGCAAGCAGAAGTTCCTATGGGAGGAGGAGAAAGATACATTTGGGAATCATTAGGCTTTTTGCTCAGTTGTTCAGGCAAACATTCAGTGGTCTACTACAAGCAAGCAGTGTGCTCCTTCCTAGGATAAACAGTCACCCTGTTTTCCAGAAACTCATCAATGTCAAAATATTTAAAAGTACTCTATAAACAAATTTGCTATGGTCATGTCAATTCTTGGCTCTGAGTTAGCTCATTAAGAAAATTAAAAATCATCAATAAACTGAACCAGATGAGATTATGTTGACATGACTATAGTTTGGGGGCATTTATAAATTATGTGAGTGGTTTTTTTTTTTAAAGATTTATTTATTTGTGCATACAGAACTGGAGTACAGGCCAGAGACTCAGGGGTGGCGAGAGGCTTCACCAGAGACAGAGTGGGGAGCAGAACAGGCAGATGGATGAAGTACACTGCTGAGGGGAGCAGCAGGAGAAGGTCAGGAGAAGTCTGCCACGCCATGTGATCACCTCGGGGCAGGCAGGAATAGAACTCAAGCGGAAGTGGTTTCAGCTTCTTAGTGCAGTGCTTTAACCCACTGCACCACCAGGGAGGGCCTGTGAGTGTTTTTTAACCCTCTGGAGTCCTTTGACTAACCTGATGAAGCAGAATGGGGGACACTTGGTTAATGAATATGCGTGTGTCTACTCTGCAAAATGAATAAACTCTAATACATTTTGTAAGTACCAATTTATTTGAGTTACTCTCAGTCACTTTTTTTGGCTTCTATTTATGAAAGGAAACTTATTTTCTACCTCAGTGTTGTTGATTGATGTGTAGTGGCCAAGGGAAAGCCAGACAGAGCTACACGGAGTAAAGTTAGAGGGTATCCAGATTGCACAATAGTGTCTACATATTAGCCCCTTGTCCCTAAGTAGACTGTCTTCACCTGAGAGAGAAGGCAACTAGACACACTCACAGCAGCTGCAGGTCAGCTGCTAATGTGAAACGTGACTAAGACATACATATTTGTTGTCAACCCATGTTTGCCTCTTTCTGAAGCAAGGCTGACCAGGGCACACACAAGCAATACATTTAAACAAGAGAACATAAATTAACACAGAGAGGTACAATGGAAAGAATTTAAATACAGTTAAAGAGCCCTTCCTGGATGTGCAAACAGGCTAAAGCACAGCACTTAGCAGCTAGCCACTTCAGTGTGAGTTCAATCCCCAGCCCCAGAGCTGATTCACATAGTGAGGCAGACCTCTCCTGACCCCCCAGAGCTGATTCACATAGTGAGGCAGACCTCTCCTGACCCTCCCGCTGTTCCCCTCAGCAGTGTACTTCATCAATCTGCCTGTTCTGCTCTTCACTCTGTCTATGGTGAATCCTCTCACTGCCCATCACCTCTGGCTTCCACCCTGGTCCTGTATGCATAAATAAATAAATATTTTTTAAAAATTAAAAAATATATAGTTAAAAGGGAATGGAAGGGCCCTCCCTGGTGGCACAGTGGGTTAAAGCACAGAATTAAGAAACTAAAGCCACTTCAGCATGAGTTCCATCCTCACCCCAGAGGTGATCCACATGGTGTAGCAGACCTCTCCTGACCCACCCCTGCTCCCCTCAGCAGTGTACTTCATCAGTCAGCTGGTTCTGCTCCTCACTCTGTCTTTGGTGAATCCTTTCATGGCCCCTGCACCTCTGGCCTGTACCCCAGTTCTGTATGCATAAATAAATAAATCTTAAAAAAAAAAAAAAGAACAAGACAAATAAGAAGCAAACTCTTATGGTAGGAAAAGCATTGGGGCCAGATGCCTGGGTTATATTGTGAGTTCTGATTTTGGGGGCATTTATTAATATCAACACTCATATCTCAAGCATAAAATAGGGATGTAAAGATAACAATACACATAAGATTGCTATTATAATTAGTACTTATAAAGTATTCAGAAGAGTGTCTGTTGCATAGTATACACTATTTGACATTTGATAAATAAATACCAATAGAAAGTAAAAGAGATAGAAGAGAAATGAGGAAAGAAAAAAGGAATGTGGAAAACAGGAACGGTATAGATAAATTCCTGGAGATAGGAGGTTTTAGAAAAATAGCCATTAATTACAATTTTAACTTTTGTTTTATCATCACCACACAGACTCAATTAATAAAAATCAATGATTGCCATTCTGAGCTCTGAAGTAGGACATGGTGACATAAAACTCTTGTTATGGGATGACAGCCTAGTAGGTGAGAGATAGTAATCAAATAACTTCAGGCTTAAAACTGTGATAAATGCTATAGAAAAACCATATATTCTTGAGATTTTATTGAAACTTGGACTATAACTTCTGAACTTAGATTAATTGATTCAACAGATTTTCCAGATCACCAGCTATGTTCTGGGCACCTGCTATGCTGAGTCCTTGGAGACTACAACCAATGGGAGAGACTGTGCGTGTGACACTGCAGGATGACAGAGAGGGGAATGTGATGCTTGGCTGCAGCCGTGGCTCTACAGTAGAAAAGACCCACTTCATATATGGACGACTTGGCTTGCCAGCTCGGTGATAGGAGACAAACTGTTTAACTCATATAGCCCAAAAGGAAAGGAGTGATTTTGTGGACTGAAGTATACACTGTGATAGTGGGGGGTAACATGTAACAACAAGCAAACAAACAGGACCAGAGACTTTCCCTCAAACAACAGATGCCAACCCCATCGCAGGGGCAGTTCACCTTGTTCCTTCTTTCTCAGCAACCACTGTCAGAGAAAGTTAATGCTATTAGGGGCCCTCCCTGGTGGCGCAACATTAAAGCACAGCTCTACAAAGCTAGCCACAGCCACTTCAAGCTCAAGTTTGATCCCCGGCCAGGAGGTGATCCACATGGTGCAGGAGACTTCTGGCCTGCCTGCTACTCCCCTCAGCAGTATATTTCAGTTGCTCTACCTGGTCTGCTCCCCACTCTGTCTCTGGTGAATCTTTTCATCCCCACATCTCTGGCCTATACTCCAGTTCTATATGCATAAATAAATAAATCTTAAAAAAAAAAGAAAGTAAATGCTATTATTTTCCTCTAGATTGCTGTGAGGATTAAGCAAAGTAATGTATTAAAATCTCTCTCAGTGAGAAAACAAGTACTTTGAGATAATACCTTATATTTAGAGAAAAAATATATTTTTCATTGAACTTCCACTGTTGGATGCTTTTGAAGTATTGTGAATTTTAAGTGTATCAATTCTCAGTGCCATTTACAAGGAAGTAATCATTGGGAGCGCAAAGGATGTAATATATCTTAAACATCTCTTTCATAAATTGTTATATATCACTGAACATCTCATGCCTATAAACAACTTTTTGTTTAAAACTTGAGAACACTTTTATCCCTGACTCCATTCTGCCCCCTGAAACTTTAATTTATTCAGCTTACTATTTCTGGTCTAGCATTGCCCACAGTTACTCATTTGAGATTATTCAACATAAAAATAAAACCAAAGGTTCACCCCTGTGAATCAATTGCGTGCAAAGAAAGAAAAGAAAGCCTTTTAGTGTTTGCAAACATGACTCAAAGGTATGACCAATGATGTGTGGGGCTGTGTGGAGAAAGAGGAAAAGGGAATTATATGAGGTAAAACATGAAGCTATTTTTAGATTGCTCTTCCAACCCTGGAATCAGGAAGCAACAGAAACTTTCCCTTTTCTCAGACAAATCTGTTGTGGAACTCATGAAAACTGATGACGACAAACAGTGATTACAGGATGGAAAAACCATCTCTTCTTTGATGTCTCATTTATCTGGAAAGACTGGAAAACAGACAAACTATGAGTGGAGCAGACAGTTCGAAAGGTTTCTAGAAGAATGTGGTGAGTAAAAATAACAGCTGTACTACCAGCTAGAGTGATATGCCAGAGCTGCGTACAACTGTGCTCTGTTACAACCATCCACTGTGGCTGCTATTTGGTACCTCCGATATTCCACACAGATGTGGACGAATTCATGGCAAATTTACATAGCACTTAAACTGAAATGATTTTCTGTGGAGATAAAAAATTTCCAGTATCCTTCAAAGGGGCGCTTTGTAAGATGTTTATGCTTAATTTTGAGTACCAAAATACCTTTTTTCCCCTTTTTATTGAGGCATAATTGATATATTATATTCTATTAATTTCAAGTGAACAACATATGGACTTAACATTTGTATGTATTGTGAAATTGTCACTGCAAATCTGTCACCAAATATAGTTATATGTTGTTCTTCTTTTGAGAAATTTTTAAAACTACTCTCAACAATTTTCAAATATTTAATAAAGTATTCTTAACATAGATAATAATAAACAAAGTGATTATATATATAGTCAGTAATGACTATAAGCTTAGTCACCCATGCTGTACCTTATTACAGAAACAACTGAAAGGAGAGGAAAAAAAATCATTAAATGGCACAGAAATAGTGATATATTCAAACTACAGTGACAAATGGCATGTATGTGCCATTTTATTTATTTACATATATAGATAAATACATGTGCATAACTATATAATATGCAAATATGTGTTTAAATATGTAAATTAACCTCTTTGTGTGTATTATAAATTAGCTTTGCTCTAAGTTTTTTCTTTACACAAATGCAAGATATGTACCTTCCAAGATATTTATTTATTTTAAATAGATTTATTTATTTATTTATACAGAATTGGGGTACAGGCCAGAGATGCAGGGTGGTGAGAGGCATCACCTGAGACAGCAGGGGTGGGGGGGCGGGTAGAACAGGCAGATGGAGGAAGTACACTGCTGAGGGGGAGCAGGGGGGGGTCAGGAGAGGTCTGCCGTGCCATGTGGGTCACCTCCAGGGCGGGGATCAAACTGATACTGAAGTGTCTTTAGCTTCTTAGTGCTGTGCTTTAACCTGCTGCACCACCAGGGAGGACCCGATATTTATTATTTTTTAAGACCTATTTTTAGATTTAGGAGAGGTATGGAACACAAATTATTAAGTAAATTTATAGAATCTTTAAACAATATCAAAGCAATT